GTCCGTAACCCGGAGATAGGAGCTGAGATAGGATCATCATCTCCCGGCCAAAACATCTTAGTGTTGGAGAGGATAGTAATAATAATAATACTGAGAAGAAGATGAAGAAAAACGATGATGAAGAAGAAGAAGAAGAAAAAGAAGAAGAAGAAAAAGTAGTATTTACAGAAGTATTGCTAAACTGAAAAATAAATATCCTTTAAATAAAAGAATAAAGAAAAGAAGGATTACACAAAAAAATATTATCACAAAATTAAAAAGCCACGTAGAAATAATAATGCAGAATGCTAAAATTTACTTTCTTGTCTTTACTCCATCTCTCGGGTAATACCCGAGTAAGGGACGGTACTAAACAGAAATAATAATAATAATAATAATAATAATAATAATAATAATAATAATAATAATGTGTCTAGTATACCCTTATCAGACTGGGTATTATAATGGGTTTCTTGGGCTTCGTATATTTGTACTCCAGTGTCACTTTTCTGGAGTGCTACCCTGTCACTTAGTTATAATAATAATAATACAACAGGACAAAAATAATTCTAACCAGTTTTTTTTTTAAAGTAGCATAACGATTATTATTTTAAAATGTTATGATTATTATTGTTATTATTGTTGTTGTTGTTGTAGCTCCCAAATAATAATAATAATAATAATAACAACAGCAACAACAACAACACTAAAGAGCTGTCGGTGATATATGTAACTTAAGCAGTAGTTGTGATCATTAATGATACTAAAATAATGAATTCATCGATATAAAAATCTAGTTCTTTGTGATAGAGGTGATTGAAGTCACGGGACAAAGTGGTAAAAATAACGTTGAATAATAAGTAGCTTCACTATTGATAAATATATCTTTCCCATCAGTGGATTTGTGAGTACAACTAGTCCGGGAAGTGTGGATTTCCCCACCCACTTCAAGTAGGGAGAATATCAACAATATAACGCCGTAGTAGTAGTTTAAATATTGGAGGCGTTCTCTGTGCAGATGTTGTAGTAGTTTTCATTCGAAAGAGAAAACTTCCATGGATCTGAAGTAGCAGTGGTTTTAGCACGATCATTAGTCGGAAAGCTTTGTTGACTGTTTTTTTGTTTTTTTTTTACCGGTGTATGAACGTTCCATTCGATCTCGCCGTTTCGACAACAGGTTACACAAAAACGTGGCTTTTCAGATGCGCAACGATTTTGGCCCTTAAGAGACTACAAAAAAGTATGTGGGAGGATTGAAGTTCGTATATTAATAACGTGCAATCTATCTGGAGAACTACTACAAAAAACCGACAAAGGTTATTTAGCCTTAAAATGAGCGGCGAAAGGTCACAGATCTTCGGTAACCGCTTGATAACCGAACTCTATACTGTACACCAACACTAAAACCGACAAAGCATATTCACTCTTCTTCTTTCTTTCATGTGCCATATCCCTTCAGGAAATATGCCTTCATAGCTCCTCACATCTTCCTGTCCCTTCTAACTCTCAATAAGCTATGTCTTTGCCATTTCTCCCAAATCCTGTTCTACCAGCCATTTACTTAAGCCCATCAAGTGTGTTACGTGCTGCTTTCCTTTGTCCTTCTTTCCCTCAATCTGTCCTGTGGGTATCAAATTTTCCAAGCCTGTCTTCCTCATTAAGTGCCACAGTAAGGGTCGATCGTAGTAAGGAATAATGACTTGCCTAGCTTGTTATCCATTACGCCACAGTGATTTCGTTTACTTACACGTTTTAATTTAGAACCAACGTCACAAGGTCAGAAGTGGAGAGAAACAAATGATGATCGGACTTAGTACAGTATAAAATGGCTTGTACAGCTTGTTAACCATTACAGTCAGACGAGTAAGTTTATTCCAACCTTTTGGTTTAGAAAGAATGGCTCGTAGACACGTTTATTGCAACAACTGAGGCACGAAATCAACACGGTAACAATTACATGCTTAACTTTTATTTAAGTATTACATGATGGCGGGTAAGGTCATATCGCTTAGAATGACTGCCACAGGGTCACAGATTTAAGGCAATCTTTGAGAACTCAGATATGTAATACTATTATTGCTTGTCGGTCTTTTTAAACTCTGCGGTGTGACGAAATAGGCCATTTACATACAGTAGGTTAGAAAGAAAGGCACAAGGTCACAATAGTAGAGACACCAAAGAACATGGAGTAAGTACATTAATAATACCTTGCTAAGCTTGTTAACTATTGAACTATAGGGATTAAGATTATTTTTTCGGTTAAGCATAGAACAAGAAGCATAATCTCCTAAGTGTATAATCGAACTCAGGGCAGTATAGAATAGTTTGTGTAGGTTGTTAACCATTACATCATGACAAGTATTTTCGTTTTCTCCGTTTAGCTAAGAATGAGCGACTCAAGGTCAAAGTGCATGACAACCAATGATGATCGAACACGGTTCAGTAAGAATAGTTCGCCGGGCCTCTTAACCACTACACTATGTCAAGAACGATGACTGATTCCATTTAGATGGAATTAAATGGCAAAGGATCACAAGTGAATAAGAAACACTAACAGCAGAACTCAATTATATAATATATTGCTTGCTTATCTTGTTAACCAGAACAAAAAGGCAAATAAGGTAATTAATTCATTTTAGCTTAGAGCCTACAAAACAAGGTCATATATGAAGAGAAAACTTTGACCACTAAAACATTGTTTACACTATGTACATTGTTCGGACTGTTGTCCTCATCTTTGTTGCCCTGTTCACGACGTTTCGACCGTTGTACGCCCCGGATTTCTTCAGGTGATTGGAATTTCGAACTGAACACTTTATTTCCCCCCACCGGAGTAGATTGTTCTAGTTCTACGTGCCATGACTCTTCTTCAACCTATCTACTCAATTTTATATATATATATATATATATATATATATATAGATAGATAGATAGATAGATAGATAGATAGATAATGTCTGTGTGTGTGTATATATATATATATATATATATATATATATATATATATATATATATATATATATATTTTATAACTTGTGTATTTTAAATTCTGTACAATAATAATGGATTACCTAGCTTGTTAACTTGTGTACATCGTTGAGTAATGTTAGTTACACTATTTATTTATATTTTTGATAAATATATTTCTATTTATATATTTCTATATTTATTATATATATATATATATATATATATATATATATATATATATATATATATATATATTATTTATTATATTTATAACGTGTGTATATTAAATTCTGTACAATAATAATGGCTTGCATATCTTGTTAACTTTTGCACAACGGTGAGTAACACTAGTTACAATATTTTTTTATATATATATATATATATATATATATATATATATATATATATAGACAAATGTAAAAGAACGAATTTTAAACTTTCGGCATTCAAAACATCAATTTAAAAAGGATTAATACAAAAGTAGATCAATAAATATTTATTTATTATGCACTGTTACATTAGAACAAGCATATACCCACTAGAAAACTGTACATCTGGTTTCAACGTTAAAAAATATTAACTGTTTCATCAGGTGGGAAATCACGATGCTACTACTGAAAATATGTATATTTTCTATATAATTATTTATATACATACATATATATATATATAACATATATAAAAAATAATTATATATATAAAATATATATATATATATATATTTTCAGTGGTATCATCGTGATTTCCCACCTGACGAAACGGTTAATATATATATATATATATATATATATATATATATATATTGCATTTATAACTTGTACACTTCAAATTGTACAGTATTAATGGCTTGCGTAGCTTGTTGACCTCATCACAACGCTGAGTAACGCTAGTTGCACAATTTATCTTTGAGTGATATGTTTTTATGGCTTATCAACATCAACCTTTTGTGAGTCATTTAAAACTGAAACATATTTTCGATTGTAACAATAACGTTTTTGTGGGCGAGTGAATATTGTGTTAACAAATTCCGAGAATATCAATGATTGGGGTGGGGGTGGGGGAATTAAAAGTTCTACTATTTAACCCATAGCTGTGAAACGAGATGGTTTCATCCATTTCTCAAAGTTATTTGCGTGTAAGTGAATTTAACAAATCCGATTGGAATTCGAACTCAGTTCCTCAACTTCTCATTCCATCATCTCTTCTTCCACTCTCTCATATTATTACCTCTCACTATATCTCCTCAATGAGCGTGGGTGGCTTATGCACCCCCTCCTTGTATTCCAATTCAAATTTCAAGACTTCCAACACCACGGCTGGTCGCTGAGGTGACCGCTTCAATCCAGAGCTAACCTTAACCCACGTTGTGATTTAAGTTTGATCATAGGGCAGTCAAAATCGAATCGTTGCACGTACGTTCGTGCTGAGCTGGTCCAAGCAGGGCAATGACGTAGAGTAAAAAATACCACTGGAATAAAGTGAACAAAATGTAAATAGTGTTTTTATATCAGTCCTTCGTACAATAATTGGGGTATATCAGAGTTCGCATTCAATTAATTATCAGCCCAACCCGCATCTAAATCAGAAGTTATATTATCGTTGTTGACGTGGCAAGGTTTAGTTTGCTGCTTTGGTAAAGTTTGGCACAAGGCTGAAGTCGGAAGTTGAACAATACTGGTGTCAGACGCCTTCGAATATCACTCGCACTAATAGTACTTGCTCGAAAGTAACCACCGTATAGTGATCTGAATAGAGAAATAGTATAGTGAATAGAGTAGAGAATAACGGACCGTATAGTAATAGAGGCTAGAGTAGATATGGTGATACGAATAGTAATAGAGGATAGACTAGAAATGGCGATCCTTTAAATGTCACGCGACTTCCTAATTATACATTTCTAGTCATCAGATCACTGCACATCCATTTATCTTAAAACCACGTGAAAAGGTTGCAAAGTCTATGGCAACCGATTAGGATCGAAATCAATACTGCAAAAATGGATTGCATATATTCTTAACACCTACACGAATTCAGTAAGCTTATTGATTTACTTTAACAGTGAAGGAATAAAAAGGTCCTCAAGGATAGAAGAAACAGTGCCGATCACAGCAATGACAGGAACGGACATAGCAGGTCAGTTATTTTCTCAGTTTGGCTTAGGATCAACGGGACGTGGTCATAAATATAGTGCTACCAATGACAGTCGAATGCAGTAAAGTAGTAATAAGATGCTTATGTTGCAATCTTCTACACTGAAGCGAGTAATGTTATTAATTCAATTTACTTTTGAACGCAGGGGAGAATGTTACAAGGCTATGAAAACTAGTAAGGATCGAACTCGGTAAGACAAGAATAGCTTACCGAGCTTGTTAAACACTACACTATGAGAGCAAAATATGATGAGTCAGCGGAGAGAGAGGATGGTACAAGGTGAAAAATGTCAAAGAAACGCTAGCAATCTAAATTAAGTAGGGATATTATTATTATGAATAAATAAAAGTAAATATAAAATAATAATAACAATGAATATTATTAATAAAATAAAATGAAACAAATAACGTGAAATCTTTGTTAAAAATAAATTAAATAAAAAAACTAAAAATTTTCCCAGCATGTTCATGTAAAAAAAAAAATCCCCCAAAACGGGTATGCCGCCAAAAGACGTTGAATTTAATCTCATCGTTACCAAACTTAGGACAGATAAGACGTGCAACTTCTCTCTCCAGGGCATTGCTTGTAATAATACGAAGTGACTTCTTCTTTTATTGCATGCAATCTTAAAAACACTTGTAACTGAAATTAAACACACCAATACACAAAATAAATAAATTGTATGATATTAATGTACAATTTAACATGCTTTTATTGTTATCTCTGTGTTTGTTTTCTTCCTGTGAACTATGTTTTTATCCCTGTGAACACAAGTCGATTTCTGTTGCTGTGATCTGAGTGACCCCACAAACTCAGCAAGGTAAAAATGACTTGCCTATCTTGTTAACCACGATATAATAGTAGTTAATAACGTTTACTAATAGTAAAGCCTACTCGATAAGGTCTCATACGAAATGCAACCAATCAGGATCGAAATTTATATAGTAAGAATGGATTGCCGAACTTGTTAACCACTACACTATGGCAAGAATAGTTATTGAGTCAATTTAGGAGACAGCGAAAGACACAGGTTCACAAATGTAGGGGAAGCAATGACTCGAATAAAGTGAACAAAAAGTAAATACTGTTTTCATATCAGTCCTTCGTACAATAATTGGTTTATATCAGAGTTAGCGTTCAATTAATTATCAGCCCAAGCCACATCTAAATCAGAAGTGATACTATCGTTGTTCACTTGGCAAGGTTTAGTTTACTGCCTTGGTAAAGTTGGTACAAGGCTTTCGTCGGTAGATAATCACGTGGGACTTTCTCCTGTCTCTGTTCTCGTCTCCGTCTCTTCTGCCTCTCTTCTCTCTTCTACTGAATTCGCTTCGCGCATTCGTATTTATGGACATTTGCCCAAACCGGCATAGGGTTATGCGAGGTAAGAGCATTTCGGTGAATCACCTCCGGCTTACGTCATAATTTTGGGGAATTCTCTTTCTCCCCTCATCTCTTTCATTATCCTCTCTCACTGACCTCTTCAGTGAGCGTGGGTGGTTTCTCCATCCTCCTTGATGTCTTATCTTCGGAAGTGATATTATCGTTGCTGACTTAGTATAGTTTGGTGTTTTGGTAAGGTCTGATAACAAGGCTGAAGTCGGGGGTTTTTGTAGGTAGATAATCACGTGGGCCTCTCTCCTGTCTCTGCTTTCGTCTTTGTTTCTTCTGCCACTCTTCTCTTTTCTGCCTAATTCGCTCCGCGCATTCGTATTTATGGACATTCGCCCAAACTGGCGAAGTAAGAGAATTCGATAATTCTGAGGAATTCCCTTCTTCCACTCTCTCATATTATTACCTCTCACTGTATCTCCTCAGTGAGCGTGGGTGGCTTATCCACCCCCTCCTGCTATTCCAATTCAAATTTCAAGACTTCCAACACCGCGGCTGGTCGCTGTAGTGACCGCTTCAATCCAGAGCTAAGCTTAACCCACGTTGTGATTTAAGTTTGATCATAAGGCAGCTAAGATCAAATCGTCGCAGCTATCTTCGTGTTGTGTTGGTCCAAGCAGGGGGATGATGTAGAAGAAAAAAATAACACTCTAATAAATAGAACAAAAGTAAATACTGTTTTTTTATCTGTCTATATTTCTGAGATGAGTTATTATGTACATTATTTACATAATTTGGACTATTGTCGTCATCTTTGTCGCCATATTTATTACAACGACACATGGCACAGTGGATAAAGCCGTTAGTTAGATCCAGTGACAGGACAGAAAGAGTGTGAGTTCAATACCCGGTTAAGGCAGTGGAGAACTTGGAGAGGGGAATTAATAAGAGATAACTGATAACTGGCATCCATTAGACATGGCACGTGGAACTAGAACAGTCTATCCCAGTGAGCGAAATAAAGGGTTCAGTTCGACATTCCAACCACCTGAAGAAGGCCAGAACGTACAACGTTGTGATAAATAGGCGAGAAAGGTGAGGCCAATAGTCCGAATAATGTAAATACTGCTTTTTTATATATCAGTCCTTCGTACAATAATTGATTTATATCAGAATTTGCATGCAATTAATTATCAGCCCAACCCGCATCTAAATCGGAAGTGATATTAATCGTTGTTGACTTGGTAAGGTTTAGTTTGCTGCTATGGTAAAGTTTGGCACAAGGCTGGAGTCGGAAGTTGAACAATACGCCTTCGAATATCACTCGCTCTAATAGTACTGCTCGATAATACTGGCTCGAAAGTAATCCGCATAGTAATCTGAATAGAGAAATGTTATAGTGAATAGAGTAGAGAATAACGGACCGTATAGTAATGGCGGCTAGAGTAGACAGGACGATACGAATAGTAAAAGAGGATAGACTAGAAATGGCGATCCTTTAGACGTCACGCGACTTCCTAATTATGCATTTCTAGTCATCAGCTGACTGCACATCCATTTATATTAAAACCACGTGAAAAGGTTGCAAAGTCTATGGCAACCGATTAGGATCGAAATCAATACTGCAAAAATGGATTGCATATATTCTTAACACCTACACGAATGCAGTAAGCTTATTGATTTACTTTAACAGTGAAGGAATAAAAAGGGTCTCAAGGATAGAAGTTTGGCACAAGGTTGAAGTCGAAAGTTGAACAATGCTGGTGTCAGTCGAACTAATTGCCCTTGCTCGATAATACTTGTTCGACAAGTAATCCGTATAAAGATTTGAATAGAGAAATAGTATAGTGAATAGAGTAGAGGATAGCGGTCCGTATAGTAATAGAGGCTAGAGTAGACATGGCGATACGAATAGTAATAGAGGATAGACTAGAAATGGCGATCCTTTAGATGTCACGCGACTTCCTACTTATGCATTTCCTCTTTGGTCATATAGTTTACTTAATTCAATAATGGGATCGCTTGTGTTTGCTCACTGACGATCTATGTTCAAACAGCGACAATTTATTCCTATATAACAATATCTATTTCTGGAGACCCCTACAATATGGCAAGTAAAAATATTTCCTTTTTCTAGAGTAGAGGGATCGAAACAGTCACAAGTGTTTTGCTACGACTGTTGTTTCAACTCAGTATCGCAATGTCTTACTTAGCTTGTTAACTCATGACTGAATACAAGTAAGTATATTTAATCAGTTTATTAAGCAACGTCGAAACTGGTCAGTACCTAGATCGGTGATCGTTCCGGAATACTGGGTGTTGTAAGCTTGGACGTGTGGATGGTGCAATGGATCTTTTAGGGAGAGAGCGCATTATCTAGCGTAATCAACAGTCTGAATAAGGCTAGAACGCTCAATGACTTGTTCGTACTAGCACAACCACCGACGGCTCCGAAGGGTCCAACTCATGAATGATTTTCTGGCATTTTCCCAAGGTGTCGCACGCTGGGATCGCCCCCTCCTGACCAATAACATCAAGAAATCACCTTCTTGACGGTTTGCGGTATACGGATGTCTTGCACCCATGCTCTGTTCGAGATATTAGAACATCCAGGAATGGGTGTCTGTTGTTGCTCTCTTTCTCCATCGTGAACTGTATCGAAGGTCTTAATTCAGTTCACATGGTCCAGTAGTTCCTGGACATCTTCCTGGTGTGGCCAGAGTATGAAGGTGTCATCTACATAACTTAAGCATAGAGTTGGCCTTAGAGATGTAGATTCTAATGCCATTTCCACTAAGTATTCCATGTATATATTCACCATTGCTGGTGATATTGGCGAGCCCATTGCTAAGCCCTCATCCTATCGCTATATGTGTGATCCCATTCCGAAGTGTGTTGTTTTTGTACAGAAAGTCAACATCTCTATCAGATTATCTATTGAAATACTGGTCTGTTCTCCTAGGGATGAGTCAGAGGCCAATATGTCTCTGATTAACGAGAGTGCCTCCTCCGTGGGTACTTTGGTGAACAAACACACCACGTCCAAGTTCACCATCTGGTTGGATAGGATGGGGGAATCTTTGATTATTTCCACGAAGTGGGCAGAGTTTCGGACAAATGAGGGTGACTTTCCGATTAATGGGTCAATTATATCTACAAAGAAGCGATCAGAGAGTGGCATACAGGGCACTGACAACTAACAATTGGCCTGAGCGGAATATCCTCCTTGTGAATCTTAGGAAAACCGTATATGTGTGGTAGCTTGGTGTAACGCTGCGACAACTGCTTATACATCTTAAGTGTGAAGTGATCCTTGTTCTTGATTAGGATCTGTGACAGTTTGCGTTCCATTTTCATTGTACTATCCTTTTTTACTTTGCTGTAGCTACCATTTCTAATGAGGTCTTCCAGCTTTCTTGTATAATCTGATTTGCCCATCACTACAGTTGCATTGCCTTTGTCAGCCTGTAGTATGAAGGTGTTTTCGTTCCTCTGTAGGGATCTGATTGCCAGCCTCTCCAGGTCCGTGATGTTTGACCTGGGTGGCTTGGCCCTCACTAAGGCCTGTATCACCTTCCATCACAGTTCATCCACCTGAACCTGAGGGAAGCTCAAGGACACATCCTCGATTCTGGCATTGATGTC